GGGGGGTGTATGGAATGGAGAATCTACTCCACGAAATGGATTGGGGGGGGGGGGTGGTTATGGTAGAAGAGTAAACTGGCCGACACTTGTTTACATATTGGAAGAAGTGGTTTATCGCAGGGTTATTATTATTTTTTTTTTTTACTTTTTGGGAGAAAGAGTAGCCGAGTGAGTTATAAGTTATAGGAGAACTATGGGTTTCCGTGAAACTGCAACTTAAATTTTTTATGTGGGCACTGTACCCCTTAGCAAGTACGGGCTCAAGTTATCGTTTATTTTGTTTCTTAATTTACCTCAAAAAAAGAAAACCTGATAACGAGTGATTATTACACTAGGGTGTATCATGTTATCTTTTTTATTAATTTTTTTTTGCAGAGCGCCAAACCGATAATGGAAAAACGGCGGCGAGCGAGAATTAACGCGAGTCTGGCCGAACTGAAGGCACTTCTTTTGGAAGTTATGAAGAGAGAGGTTAGTTAAGAATTTAATTAATTCTTCTCCTTCCATCACCCCAAAACAATGAATGAATAGATAAGCATAAAGACATCAATTATTAATGTGATTATTTTCTTTAAACATATTTTCACTTAACAGCCATAAACGTGTCTTTGAACCAAGAGAGCAAAAAGCGACCAGTATTAACCGCCGACACGCACATGCCTGTACAAACACGCGTACGCTTGCACCCACATCAAGTGAGGGCTCTAAACCGTGCACGGAAACTTTCTGTTTACTTCTGCCATTATCTTTTATAGTCGTGATTACACCGAGCCTTGTTTATTATTCAATTCACAGTGTTGCACAACACTCTATATTTACATTATAAACAGCGGTACACAGCGACGTGTCCTCCACGAAAGAGTGACACTTTTAAAGAACAGCACGCTCGGCACAGGTGGGCGAGACCTGCATGGCCTGTTTGTTTCGCTGTTTTTACATTTCACAACCTTTAAAGAAACCAACGAGGTTGTTTGTTTCTCTGTTTTGAACATTTGCATATGTATGAAGTGTCAACAGAGTGGCGCGGCATGCGAGGCACGAGGCGGACTTTCCCACGCTCTCAGAGGCCAGGCTGGTGTCACGGGGCGCGCGCTGGGAGACCTCGGAGGTTTGGGTGCGGGACATCGGCGGTTTTCAACAACATTCGGGTCACATGAGAGATTTTTCACTGTCATTTGTGAATAATGATAGCGTGTTATCAGGTAAATATGGTGTTGCCGACGGAATAATGTATACATCGAGGTGACGAACGGGATTCCTTTAGTGCTGTGCCTTTGTATGTCGGCGTATTTGCCTCCGCGTGTATGTATGTAAGCGTGTGTGAATGTGCGCGCGTGCGCGTGGAGGCGAGGGGGCTCAGATAGGGAAGGTGGGGGGGGGGCGACACTACAGCTCTTCTAAAAGAAGACTGATCCTTTTTCGTCTGACAATTTAGTGAAGTGCATTCCGCGTTAGTTGGTGTTTTTTGGAGTAATTTCGTCACCCATGCCCCCTTCTCCCCCTCCCTCCCTTACCACTTCACAGCCACCCCGGGTCGAGAGATCATTCATGGGTTGCGTTCACACAAGGCTCAACGAGTTCGATCCTAGTGTCGCACTGTGTCCTTAGGGTGGCGTTGTTTCTGAGGACAGTGACAAAGAAGCAGTTTTAATGATATTTTATTTTACATTAACTGAATCAGTTTATCAAACGACATCCTATAAATCAAAGTGTATCATTTAGAGCGTTTTAATCATTTTAGCATACTAATCGTAAGACCAATGTGTCGTTTATGACGTGGCGTGCATTTTTACAGCTTATCTACTCGAGGCTCGTGGTCGCCCCGAATACTACGGTCTCTCAGTATGACATGCAAATCCACGATATGTTACGCTGTTATAATATATATTTCCTGGGACGAAGTTTTATCTGACCAAATACCACAACTTACATCGCATCCACACCGAACACGGACCTCGGGTTCATTATATATAACTCAGAGCTCAGCAAACTGTGCCAGTGAACATACACGGTCTGTGTCACGGTATTCCACTTCACCTCCCTCCGACAAACACGAAGGAGCTAAGATCTGCCACGGCCACAGAGAGAGAGAGAGCATTTATTATACTGAACTGGGTCTGGGTGTTCGGGCTGGGACTCAGTTTCGATCTCAGTTCTTCGGCGATGCTGAAAAAGAAAATATAGTCCATACTGTCTCGCTCACTGCATCAAATTAATAGATAATCATGATAAAAAATAATTACTAATATGATCATTTTCTTTAAGCACAATTGCAGTTCACAGACAAATCGACGAGATGTTTTATCAGCGACGCTAACTCGGTGTTTGACAATTCGAATTTTTGATAATAAAACATTTGCATTATGATGGGGTTTTCTGCTACTGAAAACAATTTGTAAAAAAGAAAAGAACAAAGAAGAAAAAGAAAAAAAATCAAACATAAGAATCTATCGGGGACAATATGTCCGAATGACTGAAAATAATAAACTATATCGACGGCCTATAGTAAATGTTTTCCAAATTCACGCGCATCATGTGTTGATACGTGAATAAATTGGATTAATGAAGGAATTAATCATTTCATTTAATTCCAGGGTTCACGACATTCCAAGATGGAAAAGGCCGACATATTGGAGATGACCGTCCGCCATTTGAGGCATATACAACGACAACAGTTTGCAGGTAGGGAGAACGAAAACATCGCTTTTATTTTCCCCCTTTTCTGTACAAAACGATTACAATAAGGTTTATTTTAATCTTAATTACATGAAGTGGCTATTTATATCAGCTGTATCCCATTTCCTGTTGGAGGCGTCTTCGAAGACACTGGAATGTTTGAGTGGAATAAACTAAGTTCATATGTGTTTGAAAAAAAAAAACTTTTGTGGATCTGATGAAATTTCAGTAAATTTTAACAGAGAATGAATACTCACAGTAATCTTGATAGAGGCAATTTTTGATGAAACTACAAAAAATATTTGATTACAAATTTGACAAAACTGCCCTGTGTTAAATGTGCACTGTGCCTGTCACTTGACATAATGATCTGTCTCATCCATAGTTCTCAATTCTTCTCGAAAAATCTTTATTTCGTAAACAAATCTGTCCAGAGAGTATGGATGACTTTTGGTATTTGTATGTTCTGAATGAGGGGCAGAAAGAGGCCCCCGGAGAACAATATCATCTAAAGTTTGTGACTTAAAATGGCTGAAATCAAACCCAGAATGCTACAAAACGAACTATTTCTTTTATTGAGATGCGTTCTCTAAAGCGATCCCACAGGTATCGCATGATTCGAACTTGACATGAGTATTATTGCATATAGTAAAAAGAGAAGAAGCAGAACATTTAATCCCGACAGACTGAGAAAGACTTCTCCTATTTCCTCCTCTCTGCCAATAGACACGGATTTAAGATTTCAAATCAACAATGAATCAATATTTGTATTAGATTCAAATCACAAACACCATTCGAATAGCCTGTCAGTACGGCTTGTCACATTAGACACTCATTTTACCATTGCGTCGCTGTAATATCGCGTTAGAAAACGATAGTTCAGGATAATATATATAATCTATCAACAGTTTGGCAATCTACAGGTTATGTCGGAATAATTCGCTTAATGGGATTTTATCTGATGAAAAAAATTTTCTGCAGGTCAATTGAAAATCATGAAAGGGAGGGATAAGAAGATAAAAATCCACAGTAGAAACACGACTAAGATTATGCTTACATTTTTCTTAACAGTGCGCCTTATCTAGGTTATACAATGTGCAAATGATGAACAAAAATCAAAGTTGGTCGTTAAAACAATACCTTAAAGTCGCCATTTTAACCCGAATCAGCAAGCATACTTAAAGCATGAAATTTTAACAGAAAACACACAGAAGTCATATGACAGCGGTCTACACGTACCACACCAATGGAAAGGAAGAGAAAGATGGAGGATTATTTCAGTGACAAGTTGTCACCGTAATGATTTATCTTTCCACCAGTCAAGTCTCCAGAACGGCTAGCCATGCCCCCCACAACCACTTGGTGATAAGTGAGTGACGCTAGACCTGTCACAGTATATCAAAATGACACCATATGTATGTAGTCCGTCTTTTTATTAAGAAGAAAGTTGCATGAATAAACTTATCAAGTTAAGACGAGGTGATGCACTGTGTAAGGATTTTATTTGTCCCTTTTTCTCTTTAGATAATGCTAATTATTTCACTTTTTGGTCTACAAATGGTTTCTGTTGATCCTAACATTTTAACACTAAGAGGTATAAAACGGAGTATTGTAAAAAAAAAAAAAAAAAAACTACAGAACTCAGACGACAACCAAGACAGCGGACACTGCCCAGTGTCGCCATCTAGTGGACAGATAACAAATTCCACACTGTTTAGGTCATCATTTTCCAATGTGTCAAAATGAATGGAATTACAAAGACAAAAATTGTATGAACTTTCAGAAATAGACTAAAAATCTTTTTTACTTTTACTTTTTTATTGTTGGCAGCTTGTCAAAAAAAAAAAAAAAAATAATAATAAAAAAAAAATTACGCCTAGTGTCATTCAGTCATGAGGTACATGTATAGGACGTCCTTCGTGGCTTTACTTTAACAAGTGCCTGCATTACATACTATGTAATTTATCTTTATTAATACTATCCTAATCAATAATCATATTTGATTTATGTCACTATAAAATCACGTCACGTATTTCTTTTCTTTTCTTTTCAAAAGCCGTTTTAAGAGAGTTTAGATGCAAGATAAGATCTCGTGGACAATATAATTTGTCAATCCGCACCCATTTCAAGCCTAGATTACATTTACACGGGCGCCGTGCGATGGAATTGTCCGTACGATTTTTTTTTAGAAATCATAAGGAGCTACGGGCTACGCCGAGTATGTCTGCATTACATGGCCTTAAATCCGCACGATTCCGTGCTATTTCGCACGGCCACCGTCTACCTCCGCTTAGACGCCCAGTGAAGAGGGAATTACTGGCAGTATATCTGCATCGCATTTCAAATATAATCTTGGCTTTAGGCTTTTCTTATTTCTATCATCTAGGAGATATTTTCTTTCTCTCACAAATACCCCGAAAACAGACCTGAGCTGAACTCTGTTTGTATTACGTGGAAATCTAATATTAAAGGGCGGTACAGTACAGATGCATCAACAGTGACAACTTTAGAAAATATGACAATTTTTAACACCTTAAACCGGCGACAAGAGAACGCCCTCGGGCTAGACATGTCTATTTCGATGCAGGGAACAATTGTATTTTGGTATCTTCTATTGTCACCCTGTCAAGTAAAATGTCGCAAAATAAACATTCCACATAGACTTTTTTCAAGTCACCGCCTTGTATTTAAATAGAGACATTGTTTATTATGACAGAGGTCTAAGTAACACAGTTGACTCAAACGCCCAATCTTCTTGATAAACTAGTGATAATACGGCGTTGATAGGAGGGATCGAATCCCAGATGGTTAAACAGTGTCCATTTCAAAAAGAAAATGTAATCTTATAAACCAGTGATCAAGTGTACTGTAGTAATTATGGTAATTATGGCATTATCCTGCCTTGGAATGTGTGACATCGTTAAATTACTTTCTTTTGTTGATTTCTCAACACAACTGTTCTTTTTTTGTTATTATCCACAGTGTCATGCGTATATAAACAATAAGTCTTTTGGACTCTTTGGAGACTTTATATCTTTTACAAGCTTGCTCGTCAAATTACGTAAATTGGCATAATTTAGATTAGAGCATTTCATGCTTAATTCATCAAAGTCCACTGTCTTTAAGCTAGTCTATTATTATATGATATTTTGTTTAATTTCAGCCGTTGCCAATTCCGATCCAACTGTCCTAAACAAGTACAATGCCGGATTCAACGAATGCACCTCGGAAGTGAGCCGATACCTCCATTCCATCGAAGGCGTGGACCCCGACATCCGCGCCCGTGTTTTGGATCATTTAGCCACGTGCGTTGCTAACGCCACCGGGGTCAACTCGGAGGGGGAGAGAAGTTTCACCATCCCGAATGTTGCCTCGATACGACCGATGCCTACGCCACAAACCACCGTCTCTCCACGCGCCAGTGACGTTGATGGGTCGGGCGTCGCTAACGTGGAAACGCCCAGTTCGTTTGGAAGTCCGCAGTACGCCCCCACTGGTCACGTGATGCCGGATTTCACCCCAGGGAAGGGCATGGTACAGTCCAACGCATGCGAAGTAAGCAGGTCTACTTCCGCCCCAGCACAAACGGCCACTGTGACGCCGTTGAGCGCGCAACAAAGTAGTTCCGGGAACGTGGCCATAGGTGGCTTACAGGTCATTCCTACTCGACTTCCGTCGGGAGAATTAGCGTTTGTTCTTCCTCAAAATGTGATAAACTCTGCGAGCCAAGTTCCGGCTCAAAGCTACATCCTTCCTGTGTTTGCTGGGAATACTGGCATGGCTTCCATGACGTCAACAGTCCAGCCGTCTGCCTCCATAACGACAACAACGGCTCTACCACTCCCCGCGCAGGCGCAGTCTATATCCTCTAACGCGCAGAGTCATCAACACGTTGCTATGGCAACGCTACAAAGCTCCCAGCAGCCAGCAGCTCCAATACGAATAGACACGTCCTCGACTCAGAGTGCTTTCTTATCCGCGCCTTCGATTCTTTCAATGAACGGTTTGTCCGGGACGGTGAATCTCTCTCCAAATTTTCCCTCTGCGAGTGGGCAAGCGGGGTCGAGCGTTCAACCAGCGGGGACTCAGTACCAGCCAGCGCTGCCTTCTATCATCATGCTGCCGTCGAACTATGGAAGTCTACAGCAGCCCTTTCAGGGGATCACGCCCAATCTCCCAGGGTTGGTAAAACCCGGGGAACCGTTCCACATCCCTTCCCTGAAGGAAGAAGACGTCTGGAGACCGTGGTAGCTGAGCTCTGTTATAAATATGCTATATATTTTTTATTCTCTGTTAATTATTTTGAAGTCTTTCTTGTGTTATCCAAATAATATTCAAGAATCAATATCTTCAGTTCTATTAAGAACTCAACGCCGGGTATCTTTCATGGTGTCTGTTTTCTGTTTCACATTGTTAATTGTTGAAAACTGAAAAGCTTCACATCCATTTTATGCGCACTCTTTTTATATGGAATTTATAAACTGGATGGTGTTCAAATATATATATGGAAATCATTTGAACATTAAATACATCTTTGAACACAACAGTCAAGATGCCTAGCCATTATTCATAGGATTTATAATAAGTATTTATTAATTTGGGAAACAATATTTGCTGTGCTGTGGTGCTTGATTGTGATGCTGACCGCTGAGAGTTTAAATTTGCTTTGTTTACTGTTTGCTTCTATTGCTGTTACGAACTGATCTGGTTACCATTGTACTTACGACACTTGTAAAGATAAATTGTTATCAACATTTTTCTGACGCTCACGGGTGAGTGGTGACATTTTACCACATCATGATGTTTAAATACGACTCATACAAAATATGCCATTCAAGCATATCTTAAATAAAACATGTTATTTAAGAGTTATTTTGCACGTGTCTTGTTCATTACGATTTCATTTATTTCCATAATTCCCTTTCAATCACAGTGTAATTACGACACACGTCAGTGCATCACACCTGGAAGAACAAAACATGGCGGCCATTTTGAATTCAAAAGCAAGCTCCCAGGTCCCAGCAACTTCTAGTGTCTTGCTTTTCCTTTCATAATATATAATCAGTATTAAAGGTAGACTTATATTGACTCAGGGCCATTTGAGGTCAAATTCTTTGATAATGAAGAAAATTATTCTAGAGCACAATGCCTCCTAATAATTGAACACGTGTAACGCAATGGCGCAGGCCATTTTTGGTGGCGGCATGTTCGTTTGATCCTTGCTGGTTAAGAATTGTCTATAAAAATACTTGATTTGGTATTAAACATGATAAATGAAATGTGCTATGATTTGTACCCTTGAGGCGAATGCATAATAAAATGCAATTGCGGCATAAGTAAATTAAAGCAGATTAAGCACACGTTCACCCCAAAATAAAGTCCAGTTTGGTGAAATGTTTTGGACGGACGTACAAGAGTAACAACGACACAGTGTTTAAGTATGCACAGGTTTTTTTGGTCTGCCAAGTGCTCAGCAAAAGAAAATAATTACTGTATTTCATTTTTATGTGCACAGCTCAGATTGACCAGATGCTTTATAAACCATGGGGAAATGAACCGACACAGTACTGGGCAACCCAGCAAACCAGCCAAAACACCGTTATATTCTTCGAAGTTCTGGTGCAACTTTGGGATGATTTCTTTCACAAAAACGTAGATATTCATCTCCGTTAAACATGACACAGTTATATTTTCTTTCAGCAGACAAGTATTTAGAAGTCACATAATTAAGAATGGTATATAGGCCTATATATAAGTATCAGAAGAGCAGGGTTATCACATCTTGTCTTCAAAAACAGTATAAGCGAAGCCAGTGGGGAGGGGGGGGGGAGGCTGCATATGTTCCCCAGAAACTATCTGGGGATCCTGTATTCGATATGGAATCGTCATAGTGTCAACTCACACTGCCGTCTTCACCCTACTGGACTGAGTGAAGCTTCTTAAACATTTCTAGGGGTTAGGTGACTATAAAACGTTATCATTGGGACATTAATCTAAACACAATTTTAAGAATTAATAGGAATGTCACCTTAGCATGTCAGATAACTTATTTCTTACTTCACAGCCGGCTGGCGGTATATGCACAGGAAAAAGTAGAATAGCAATAATTCATTTCAGCCTTGCGCCCCTCTTGTGTGCAGTGACCCCTTTCGGCGAGGACACAATTTGAGTGTTTTAAAATGATTTATGCCAAAGCCGATGTCAAAAGACGTCGTAGATGAGTTAACTCGACATCAGATATCACATAAAATGTTGCTTGTTTGTGTTGGTATAAAGAATGAATTATCATGTTTTCAACGAAATGTCTATATTATCGTTATTTATTTCATTATATTAACTGATAAAAATAATGTTTAATGCAAATATGCCTTCAAATAATGTAGTGCAAATGTTAAGGATTTGTTACAAAAGTACACCATGCATGATAAAGATCTATTTTGCAAATTACAGAATTTACCTGGGAATGTCAGAAATGGCCCTTTTTATCTCCAAAGAATATCTTATTCCAATCTTTTAATAAATATACGATCTTTAAGTCCGTTCTTAATTTCTCATCTTTACCACCATTAGTGACATCCACCCGTCTCTTTCTCTCCATTACGAAAGTGACTCAAACACTAGAAACTTAAAAATCAAAAACAAGAGTCTGCGAACTTTTGTGGATATGATATTCTTGAAAAAAGTAGAAATGCCCAGTCAAATCAATGTTTTGACTTATAATGGTCTAACCTAAAATATGTGTCTTTAGCAACATGTCTGCATATCTTAATTAAGTGATTGGTAATGGTGGAATTGGTGAAATTTGATTTGGTTATCGGTTATTAAATTGATGATGAGTTATGAGTGTAGTGAAATGATCCAGTTTCTGTCTTTTATTTTTTCTTTGTCTTCTTCTTCTTCTTGTTATTTGATTTTTTAAAATTTTTTATTTGTAAAATTCACCAGATTTGTCTCTGTAGGATAGAATATAAGATGGATAAACACACATACACACACATACACACACCAAGCATGCTGCTCAAGCAAAGTCTTTAGCATACTTAAGAAGAT